TTTGTTTTGTTCCTAATACGCTTCCGTGGGATTGAGTCCATTCACATGGATCAAATTATAATTTGAAATTATTTTGGCAAATTTAATGCACGATTTTAAAAGAAAATTTAATTCAAAATTCAATATTTAATGGTTTATATTCATTAAATAGTTCGAACTTTCCTTAATTACTTGTCTGGGTCGATATAAGATGGTCCGAGTTGACTTAACATAGGCGGTCCAAAATGTCTCCGGACCGACTTGTCCAATAATCATCATTAAAGCGTTTGACAGATAAATGATTGGTTTGCCTTATATTAAACGCTAAGGTAACATTGATGTTGATTTTTTAATATTAAAAAATCAGCGTATTATTTAATATTAAAAATTCATTTATTAATATTAAAATATCAGACTGAATATTTAATATTAAAAAATGATTTTTTAATATTAATAAATGATTTTTTAATATTAAATATTCATTTATTAATATTAAAAAATGACAGTATTTTTTAATATTAAAAAATCGATTTATTAATATTAAAAATTGATTTTGTAATATTAAAAAATCATTTTTTAATATTAATAAATGATTTATTAATATTAATAAATAGGGAATAAATTCCACAACGGCTTGCCATATCTTTACCCCCCCCCCCCCCCCCCCCACCTTTTCCCAAAAAAAGGGCAATCACTCCTATAAGATTCGACTACCGATTTTGACAAAATTTGTATATCTGTCTTGCTGTTTATTTTTGCCAATTAAAGTGTCTTTTCATCTTTTATAGTTTTCAAGATGAAAGGCAAAAACCCCCCAAAAAAATGGTAGAGTGAGAACTCCAATTAGTCTACTGAGGATTCAAGCCATGTTGATTTGTTTGTATGTCTTAGTGATCAGTTTTGCTTTTACAAATGTCTATCTATCTATTATAGTTTTCAAGATGTTAGGCAAAAACACTGAAAATTGGTAAAACTAGTTATCAAAGACCAATAACTTCAGTTAGGAGTCGATCGGTGATTTCGACTTATTAAAAGATATTGTCTTGCTGATAATTTTTTGTTTTTAAAGTTTCTATCTATCTATTACAGCTTTTAAGATATTAGGCAATTTTACCCCTATGTTCTACTTTAAGCCGTGGCGGCCATGTTGGTTGGCCGGCGATGTCATCAGACACATTTTTTAACCAGATACCCCAATGATTTTGGCCAAGCTTGGTTAAATTTGGCCCAGCAGTTTCAGAGCAGAAGATTTTTATAAAAGTTAATGGACGCCAAGTGATGAGAAAATTACACTTGGCTCTACTTCAAGCGAGCAAAAAAAATCGAACTCAGCTTTTAATGATGAAGAATACCGTCTGGCTGTCCTGATTTTGGTTTCGGGACAAAAACTGTTTCCAGCCATCAAACTTGAGACTTTGAAATTGCCATTTGCTGCTTTACCGGCATTTATTAGTAAGGGCAAAGCCTGATCAGATAAATTGGAATAGTGTGTCTGAGCTGGGACTATTATACTAACTATTATACTATTAGTATAATAGTCCCAGGTCTGAGTAGGATACATGAGCTAGCACGTTTAACTTCTGAATTAGCGTGTCGGTCTTGTAAGGTATATACATCGGACTGTAGGGAGTTAATTTAGAAGTCCACTAAAGATTTGACATATATTTGCTTTTACAGTTTTTATCTAGCTATAATAGTTTTCAAGGTAATAGCCAAAACTATTGCAAGCCGTTTTACTATTTATTCCATAGTTAGGGGGTGTGGTTATATAATCTCCATGGAAATGAAACTTGCAAATGCCAATACATTTGCATACTGAATATCATTGACTTAACATTAGTGGTTCATCTTAAACTGACCTAATAACAAACTAATACATGTAAACTAAGCAAAAGTTTCAAAGTCAAAGACCATGACTGAGGGGTAAGAACCAAATATTCTCCATGGAAATGAGATGTGCTAATGCTTATACAACTGCATACCAATTATCATTGACCTACCTCTACCTCTAATTAAGGTTCCCCTTAAACTGACCTAATCATAAACTAATACATGAAAACTAAGCAAAAGTTCAAAGTCAATAGACCTTGACTGAGGAGGCGAGGCCAAATAATCTCCATGGTAATGAGATGTGGCAATGCTAATACAACTGCATACCAAATATCATTGACCTACCACTAGTGGTTCCCCATAAACTGACCTAATCACAAACTAATACATGTAAACTAAGCAAAGTTTCAAAGTCCATAGACCTTGACTGACAGGCGGGGCCAAATAATCTCCATGGTAATGAGATGTGTTAATGCTAATACAACTGCATACCAAATATCATTGACCTACCACTAGTGGTTCACCATGAACTAGAAAATCACAAACTAATACATTGTTGACGCTCCACAGACGCCAGAAATAGCATAACTATGTCTCACTTTTTGACTCCGTCAAGGCGAGACAAAAACCATAGGTTACAGGCTTTATTAGTTTTTGCAAGGAAACAACTGGAATAGCCCACCCAATGGCTGTACAACCCCCAAATCATTTACATTTCCATCGGAAAACCTGGCTAAAAATGTAAGCTTTAATATATTTTGAAAAAATGTATTGGAATTTTGTCTGAGTTATCTGATATTTCCTGTAATTCTTCATTAATACTGTCTCTAGATAAATATATCTTTTACTTTCTACCATTTTGGAATATTTGCTTCTTCACATCAGATATTTTCTTTACATAAATGATCACTAGTGAGATCAATGGCAATCTGTCCAAACAGAAATACCAATAATGACTGTTTTTTTAATCTAAACCCTTTATCTAATAATAATTGTTTTTCACCAGCAGGAGGAAGTTCCAAGTAATGAATAAAAAACTAAGAGGTTTTTAAGAGCTGGTGTAGCTCACATAGGTCTATGCACATCTTCAACAATGGACTCTCTGCAACATTGTGAATTAGAATAAAATTCATGACAAAAATCTTCTATTTTAGTTGATCTGGTATTGCTGAAAATGTTTTCTGCTTACAGTTTCTCTCTATTTTCTTCAGTATTTGCAAAAAAAATAAATGGAGAATGTGTCCATGGGACACACACAGATGATGCCCCCGCTTGCATATAACGTTATAAAGGGACCTAACTCAAGAACTGTAAAAGTGACGCTACCCAAATTTGTACTTAATCTGAGTTTTGTGGTAATAAGTATTGTGTACAAGTTTCATAACATTTGGTTGAGGCAAACTGAAGTAAGAAAACGGAAATGAAAAATTCAGCAATTTTTCCATTTGTAAAGGGGCTTAACTCTAGAATGGTACAAGTGACGCCACCAAAATTCAAACTTGATCTGTGTTTAGTGGTAATAAGCATTGTGTATAAGTTTCATAACATTTGGTTGAGGCAAACTAAAGTTAGAGAACGGAAACCAATTTTGGGACGTACGGACGTACGTACAGACTGACAAGGGTAAAACTTAATGCCCCCTCCGCTACGGCAGAGGCATAATAAAAAAAAAAAAAAAAAAAAATGGTAAAAAAATTATCAATGAAGGCAATCACTACTATATAGAGTACAGCAAAATTTTTCCTATTTGTAGATCTTGTCTTGCTGATAATTTTTGTTATTTAAAGTGTCTGTCTTGTTGATAATTTTTTTTAAAGTGTCTATCTTTTATAGTTTTCAAGATAGTAGGCAAAAACGTAATATATTGGTAAAATTCATCATTAAAGAGCAAGTACTGATGATTTTGGCTATTTGACTTATTAGTAGATCAAGTCTTGCTGATCATTTTTGCTTTATTATGTTTCTACCTATCTATCTTTTAAAATTTTTTGGGATATTAGGCAAAAACGCAAAAAGAAAGTATAAAAAAACATTCTAAAAAAAAAAGTATAACAAAAATACCAAACTCCAAGGAAAATTCAACAACAGAAAGTCTCTTATCAACGGGCAATAACTCCAATAAGGGGTCATCAGACGATTTCAAGACTTTGCTTATTAGTAGATCCTGTCTTGATGTTCATTTTTGCTTATTTAAGTTTCTATCTGTCTACAATATTTTTTCAGATATTAGGCAAGAACGCCAAAAAAAAAAAACGTCATTAAAGGGCAAAAACTCCAATAAAGAGTCATCTATTGATTTCCACTATGCAGTTTTATATGTAGATCTTGTCTTGTTGATCAATTTTCGTATCAAGTATCTCCCTATCTATTCTAGTTTTTCAGATATTGGGCAAACATGAAAAAAATCGGTAAAATTCGTCATTTAATGGCAATAACTCATATAAGAAGTCGTCTGACAGTTTAATGAAAATGGACAATATGTAGATCTCATTTTGAAAATTTTTGCCACAGACAGAGTTTCTCTATTCATAGCGGTTTTCAAGATAATAGACCAATAGATATAAGAAGATGTGGTATGAGTGCCAAAGAGACAACTCTCCATCAAAGTCAAAATTTATAAAAATAAACCATTATAGGTCAAAGTACGGTCTTCAACACGGAGCCTTGGCTCACACCGAACAGCAAGCTATAAAGGGCCTCAAAAATTACTAGTGTAAAACCATTCAAACGGGAAAACCAACGGTCTAATCTATATAAAAAATGAGAAACACTTATGAACCACATCAACAAACGACAACTACTGAACATCAGATTCCTGACTTAGGACAGGTGCAAACAAATGCATTTTACTTCTATGTTCTATTTTTAGCCATGTCGGCCATTTTGATTTGCAAAAGGGGCCATCAGACACATTTTTAAAACTAGATACCCTAATGATAATTGTGGCCAAGTTTGGTTTAATTTGGCCCAGTAGTTTCAGGAGAAGATTTTTGTAGGAGAAGATTTTTGTAAAAGTTAACAACAATTGACAACAAAGGATGCAAAGTGATGAGAAAAGCTCAATCAGCCTTTTAGGCCAGGTAGGCGAGCTTAAATGGATAAGTCTGGATGCGGACTCCATGGAATCTCTTGGTAAATAGACAAATGACTAGCCATACTTTTAAGTAAAAGTAGAATTCAACAGGTATCTTTAGTTTACTTTATAAAAGAAAACAAATATATGTACAAATGTAACTATTTATAACATAATAAGAAATGAACAATCAATGATCAAACTGGTCACTTACTTACCTATACAAATAAATTACAAGTAAGTGTTATAAGTGAACTACCTACGAATCATGAAAATCTTAATGAACACTATGATTTGTTAACAATTTCAACATAATAGAAAAGAAACACTATAAAAAATATTTCTTTTGTGGCTATGTTTTAACACCTTTACCCCTTTCAAAGCAAGTCCAAGTAGACTGCAATTCTATTTAACAAATTCTGGTGTACCAAAACTTTATATTTCCTTCAAAAGATGTACTCAGTATCCGTTAATTAATCTTGTTTGTAATTTACATAAAAATAAAAAATCAACTTCCATTTACACAATTTTGCTTCTTAATTCTTCTGTATTTTGCATAGAAATGTTAATAATAAATGGTTAGCTCTGTTATGAAATTAGTTCTTTTCAAGCTATCTACACTTTTGGACAAAACCTATATAATATTTTTGTCATATAATATTTTTATAATTTGATTGCAATTTAATACAAAATCACCATCGTCAAATATGTATAAAAATTTAACAGGAAAACAGTAGCAAAACTGCATCATAACATCAGATAAAAAAAAATTAAACTACAACATGTAAGGTTTATATCAACACACTCAATTCAAATTCATAAGGAAACCATCATTTGCAATGGATGCTTTCAATGAAAGCCTAAAGGGTTATGTGCAAGTTTCTATAACAATACTGGACAGGAGTTAAAACATGATTAAAACATGCTCAAATTAAACAAATGATTCAGAATGTTGGGTTTATATTTAGAAACAACATTTAATCCTATTTATTACTTTAATAGAAATCTGCAACTAATCATTATACAATCTAAATCTACTATCTACAACCTAAATCTAAACTCAATATGTAAATATTAATTAGGTTGAAAATGGAGAAGAAAACATATTCAAATCCAGTGGCCCTATAAGGTCAAAAGTCAACAAAAATGAAACTTGCACATGATCTAGATCTGTAACTACTATTATACATTTATGGAGCAAATGTTGGCTTCATATCTGCAAAGAGCTGAGAAGAAAACAAATTGGACTAGAAGACCTAAGGTTTTCATTGATTCCATAAAAATACTTTATAATTTGTATAAAAAGTTTTTCAGAGAAAAAATTTAAAAAAAAACCCACTTCAACCTATAATTAATATTTAAAAAAGTTTTTATATCAAATTTGAAGTTGTGTTTTTATGACAGCATGCCATTTAGCACCCATGAAATTCAGACAATCAAATCCACACATTGATTTTTTTCTGTTTTGGTCTAAATAGTTCAAGTAAAGATAATTTTGTTGCAACTATTCTTATATATTTTTAAATCATAAATGAGATCTACTATCAAACATGATTAAATGAGCACCTACACAAAATTTGCAGTCCAGGATCCCGGAGTTATCTTTGGCCATATGAAAGTCTTTCATATAATAGGGACTACTAAAATTTATCAGGAATTTTGTATCCCCAATAAAATTTTATTACAAAATTAAGTAAGTGGGGTCAGTATGTCAAGCACTATATTTGTTGCAAAAGCAACACAAAATCTCCAAGTCTAGCTAGTTCTAACTATTTACAAAATAAATTTCTCAACCGTCTGAAATTCAAAAAAGTACAGTCTTAAAAACTTAAAACTGGTTAGGTCATGAAAATAACATGCTGCATTTAAGAACTTGAAATTGCTTGTCGATGATATTTTTATTGTTTAGTTTAAATTATTTTTGCACTGAAATGAAATTATGAGATATAGTCAAAATCTTTGGAAAAAATTTGTGCTGTTTCTCTTCCTTTTTTTTTTTTTTTTGTCTTTTCAAATTTCAAATTTCAAATTTTATATACTAATTTATTTATTTGAATTTAGAAAAATATACAAAAAAAAGTCCAATACATTGTTTTGTCACTAAATTTCTAACATGGTCAGAGTTACATTCTGAAAGTTTCGACGGACAGGTCTGAATCAGATCATAACTTTCAATTCTTATAAACAAAAATACCAATATTTAGGGTGGTGGGACAAGAGGGTTGGTCAAATAACTTCAAGCTTATTATTTTTCTTTTCCCTTTCAATTTAAGAAAATCTAAAACAGCACTAAGATGTTCAAAAATCCAAGCATTATAACATACTCAATTATACTAACAGCAATAACAAATCTCTTGACGACTTTCAACATTAATGGTTAAACATAAAAGGTTGCTGAACACTTGAAGGTATTTGGAATGGAGTGTGGTACGGCTGATCTCGCAATCGTGATCGGTTCCTGTTCATATTATTTGTTGGATGGTAGTCATCATTTGCATATGGTTGCCATTGGTAACCAGAGGCAGTGTTGATGTTGTTGACAGATCTAGTAATATTATAGTCACTAATAGGTCTCTGTTTACAACTTTCATTGATCAATGTCCTAGCTACACCAAAGTTTATTGGGGAAACAGCAGCAACAGGTGGTCGTCTGCTGAGATTATCTACAATGGAATGGTTAAATCTGTTTGCAGGAGGGGGTAACATTCTCTCAACAGATCCTGGTGCATCCTCTCCCCATGCTTCTGCTAAATGAGTCAGGATGAGATTTGTGATTCTACGATGAGCTGTCATGTCCCAGTGAATACCATCACCAACTCTGCGTTGAAGCTGACCACGAAGATAGTAATGAAGATCTAAAAAGTCATATCCATTAGAAGATATTATCTGTCGAGCATAAAAGTTAGCCTCTAAAATGTCCAGTCTTAATGTTGAGTTCATAAATTCAATCTCTGGAACTATGAAGCCACCTTTTGCATCTTTACTAATAGGTAAAGTTGCATTCCATAATACTAAACATTCTTCTGGAAGACATTCTTTGAATCTCTGATATAGTTTATCTAAGTTTTCCTTGTACATTTCAACACTCGCTTTGCCATATCTGAAAAAGAAATAAAATTTTTAAATGAATGCAATATAGTCACAGACCTTTTTCTTTAAAATACTGTGAATTCATTTTCAAACCTTGGGGTATTAATTTTTCTTAGAATTTCTTATCATAGAATTTAAATGATCAACAAGCGGAGGGTTGGCGCCTTCAAACATTTTAGCCCCGCCACATTCTTTGTGTGCCTGTCCTGAGTCAGGAGCCTGTAGTTCTGTGGTTGTCGTTGGTTCATGTCTGTCATATTTGTTTTTCTTAAATTGTTTTGTTATAAATTAGGCTGTTAGTTTTCTCAATTTAATTGTTTTACATTTTTTATGTCTGGACCTTTCATAGTCAACCATACGGTATGGGTTTTTTTCATGGTTGAAGGCCATACAGTTGCAGGCATAGGGCATTGGTGGTAATAAGCATTGTGTACAAGTTTCATAATATTTGGTGAAGGCAAACTCAAGTTAGAGAACAGAAACACATTTTGGGAGGTACATACATGTACGTACAGGCAGACATTGGTAAACCTTAATGCCCCTGCTGCTACAGCTGTGGCATAATTAAAGCGCTAGCGTGACAACAACAAAGTTAGAACAAAAGGGACAAAAATCTAAATATACCTTCCACAACTTATTTGATTGGAGTATAATAATAAGAAGCATAGTCAAAACCAGTTTAAAGCACCCATGAACCATCAACCAGTGTTAAAAAAAAAACTAATGATAAGCCATCATCTTAGAATCAGAAAAAACATGTCTCCATTTTGTGACTGAAAATGTTTATAAGAAAATAAAACTGACCTTGTGATATCCCATAGACAAGAGTTCATAATGACAACATCAGGTTTTGGGTCTTCTGTCAGATCTGAAAGGATGGATTCAATATAGGTGTTGTAACAGCGTGTGACAAAGTAGAATCTAATCAGGTTATAATCTGTCTGGTATTGTCTGATCTCTCTGTAGTTCTTCCCATTTGTCATCACACCTTTCTGTCCACCCTCAATTAATTGGTCACCAATGAAGGAAAATTCTCCCTGAAAGAAAAGAATAGATAAAAAAATAATACCTTTCAGTAGAGGGTTAATGATTACAGAAATATACGTCTTGAGTAAATTATACTTAAATTCTTCAAATTGCGGGGTTTCATACATATCTTGATTCTGTCATGGTAAATCTCAATATGCTAAAAAAATATAACTTGTATAGGAGTTTTACCTTAATTTTCAATTATCATCGTCAATTTATCAAGAATTGAATTTTCTTTTTGAAATTCTTTTGGGTGTAAAAGCATTGACCAAAGAGCATTTTGTATGAAGTGCTTCTCTTCATACTAATAAACTGTTCTCGCCTTTTTGTAATTTTGATAATGCAAATGTTGGAATTAAAATAGCAATACTTTAACATGTAAGTTATGCAAATATTCAAAGTCAATGAACCATGACTGAAGGTACATGGCTAAACAATCTCCATGGAATGAGATGTGCCAATGCTAATACAACTGCATACCAAATACCATTGACTTATTATAAGTCATTCCCTTTAAACAAACCTAAACACAAACATTAACATGTAAACTATGTAAAAGTTTCAAAGTCAATGAACCATGATCAGGGGTTGGGCTATATAATCTCCATGGAAACGATACTTGCAAATAAAAATACATTTGCATACCAAATATCATTGACTTAACATTAGCAGTTCATCTTAAACTGATCTAATCACAAACAAATACATGTAAACTAAGCAAAAGTTTCAAAGTCAATAGACCATGACTGAGGGGGCGGGGCCAAATATTCTCCATGGAAATGAGATGTGCTAATGCTTATACAACTGAACACCAATTAACATTGGCCTACCACTAATGGTTCCCCTTGAACTGACCTAATCACAAACTAATACATGTTAACTTAGCAAATTTTCAAAGTCTATAGACCATGACTAAGGGGGCGGAGCCAAATAATTCCATGGAAATGAGATATGCCAATGCTTATACAACTGCATACCAAATATCATTGAATTACCACTAGTGGTTCCCCATAAATTGACCTAATCACAAACTAATACATGTAAACTATGAAAAGTTTCAAAGTCAATAGACCTTGACTGAGGGGGCGGGGCCAAATAATCTCCATGGTAATGAGATGTGCCAATGCTAATACAACTGCATACCAAATATCATTGACCTACCACTAGTGGTTCACCATGAACTAGACCTAATCACAAACTAATACATTGTTGACGCCGCCATGGGCCGATGCCGGAAACAGCATACCTATGTCTCGCTTTTTGACTCCGTCAAGGCGAGACGAAAATGTGTGCATGATCAACTCTTTTAAATAGTTTCGTCACCGCCATTGTTTTACTATTGATTTTGTTGACTTTTTCATAAGAAGAGTTACTTTACTCTTGTTCTCACAAATATTTTTACTTTGCATGAGCTTAATTATTTCTTGCTTGCATAAATCAATTTATTTCTGATCTTTTAGAATATTTGTGTTGTTTTAAAAATGGCTAATTTGGAAGGGGACTCACTAAATTCAAAACAATTTTGATACAAGATTAACCATTTATTAGCAGCTTCACATCAAAGTTTGTTAAAAACTGGCCTAAAAGTTTCAAATAATAAACTGTTGACACAGAGATTTGTCTCGCCTGTCCGCATAAAATTCAGAAAAAGACAATCTGATGGACAGCAACATTGCTTATTAATTCAAAGTCGCTGGACCATGATCTTGTGGGCAGGGCCTAAATGGTCGACAAACTGAGATGAACTGATAGTAATGCAACTTTATACAAAATATCATTGAGGCTTAAATTAAAATATTGTTTGTTTGCAGTTTACCGACCGACCTTCGAAAATCTGCCAGACTGTGAACATTTTATTGCTTTTAATTTGAAGAAATTATTTTTAATACTTCTATTGACTCGATCCGGAATTTTGGGTCGTTTCCGGAATTGATTTCGAGTCTAGGTCAATTACATTTTTGAAGTTTGGTTTTTCTCCCTTCCTGTCAAGCGTTCATCGGACCCTTTAATGGTAAAGCACATGGAGTTTGTTTACAGGTAACCACGAAGTCATGGAGGAGTACTTTATTCTGTCGTCTTCTGTCAATTTTAAGACAAATAATACACAGAAAAGTTTCATAGTAAACTGTTTATACTGATTCAGGCAGAATTGCACACGGAATGATGTCTTCGATGATATCATTGACGATGATTCAGCAGATATTCATAACACCGACATGATAACCGTTTCTGTCTCAAACAAATCGGATACAGAATCTTTTGAGACTGACTTTATGGAACCAATATCAGTGGTACAACAATTCGACAGCAGCCTGAAGTATGCCATATTTTCTTTAAATCGTCGTGAAGACGACAAAGATGAAACCACTCCTCCTTGACTTCATGGATACCTGTAAACACGCATTTGAAATGTTAAATCAATAAGAAGCCACACAAACTACACAAAGATGTAGAGAAAATGAATGGTTGGCTTTAGAAATAAATATATTATCTCTGTATCAAATCTATCTTCGATTGCATTATGAGTATGCTCCTTTAGGATAAGGGGGGGGGGGGGGGGGGGGGGTCCCACTCATTGCAATTATTCTCTCTCTTACAATATTAAATATACCCAAACTGTGTGGCCTGCGTGAATTGAATTGAAATGTGTCCTTAGCTAGGAGCTATGCTGCCAATTTTTTTATGCAGTCAAAACATTTAAGTACAGACCATTTACTTTTAATGGGGTGCTATGGATTTCACCCAAAGCTAGTCTTAAGATTTTTGTTTTGTTTTAATTAAAGCCTGGCATCAACATATCTTTCCAAATATAACCTTTATAACAGTCAGATGTCTAGTCTATTTTTTTAAAAATGTTTTTTCTTCACAAGAAACTTTGTTTGTGTTAAACTGCTTGTTTAAACTTTATTCTGGCTGATAAAATAAAATATTTTTCCTTAGTAATGCAACTTCAAACAAAATATCATTGATCTATCACAAATAGATCCTATCAAACTAACTCAAGCAGAAAACTTAACATTAAAAATTGCTAATTAATTCAAAGTCACTGGACCATGACTTAGGGGGCAGGGCATCGAAATAGTCATCAAACTGATATGTACTGATAGAAATGCAACTTCATAGTAAATATCAATGATCTATCACAAGTAGTTCCTATCAAACTAACTTAAGCAGAAAGCTATACAATTGCTGAAGTTGTTGTGACGCTAGAGCTGCCGGAAAAGCAATCCATGTGTCTCGCTTTCCGAAATTTTCGTTGCAGGCCAGACAAAAACTAAATGCATTTTCAAAGACCAGTTTAAAATTTTTATCATCATTTTCATTAATGTGTTGTTGTTCTAAGTGTATATAAGGCCACTTTTTTTTTTATTTGTTGGTTTACGGATCCGCCGGCCCTGTTTTTCCCGATTTTGAAATAAAAATAATAAAATGCTTCGCTGGGCGCAGCTTGATACGACCGCAGAGGTCGAACCCTGAACAGTTGGGGCAAGTATGGACACAACATTCAAGCTTGATACAGCTCTGAATTTGGATTGTGATTAAATAGTTTTCATGAGTAGTTGTCTTTTTTTTTTCAAGTGAGGAAGATTCAATGGTTGATTTTTTTTAACACACTGACCTAAATTGTCTTTTGAATCTTTAATATCTACATTTTTCTAATTATGTTTTGTACTAAAGTATTTGTCCATTAACCAGGACAACCTTGTTTTTCCCCCTTTTTTGCCCCTAATTCTTAAATGGTTTGAGCCATAACCCCCCAAAGCAAATCCTAACCATCCCTTTGTGGTATGGAAACTTGTAGTATAATTTCAGAGAGATCCATACACCTTTCCACAGTTATTGTCTGGAAACTAGAAAATGCTTATTTTTGGCCCCTAATTCTTTAACTGTTGGTACCATAACCCCCAAAATCAATCCCCACCTTCCTTTTGTTGTATTGAACCTTATGGTAAAATTTCATAGAGATAGGTTTCTGACACAGAAAGAATGTGGTCTAAGAACTTCAATTTTTTTAATTTACCTATTATGGTCCAATGTCCAAAATCAAAATACATGGTTAGATTCAGCATATCAAAGAACCCCATATATTCAATTTTTGTTGAAATCAAACAAAGTTTAATTTTGGACCCCAACTTGGACAAACTTGAAAACTGGTCCCATAATCAAAAATTTAAACACATGTTTAGATTCAGCATATCAAAGTACCCCAAGAATTCAATTTTTGTTAAAATCAAACTAAGTTTAATTTTGGACCCTTTGGACCTTAATGTAGACCAATTTAAAAATGGGACCCAAAATTAAAAATCTAAAAACACAGTTAGATTTGGCATATCAAAGAACCCCAATAATTCAATTTTTGATGAAATCAAACAAAGTTTAATTTTGGACCCTTTTGAACTCAATATGAACCAATTTGATAGCGGGCCCACAAATAAAAAATCTAAATACATGGTAAGATTCAGCATATCAAAGAACCCCATATATTCAATTTTTGTTGAAATCAAACAAAGTTTAATTTTGGACCCCAATTTGGACCACTTGAAAACTGGGCCAAAAATCTAAAATCTAAATACATGTTTAGATTCAGCATATCAAAGAACCCAATATTTTCAATTTTTGTTGAAATCAAACAAAGTTTAATTTTGGACCCCAACTTGGACCAACTTGAAAACTGGGCCCATTATCAAAAATCTAAACACATGTTTAGATTCAGCATATCAAAGAACCCCAAGAATTCAATTTTTGTTAAAATCAAACTAAGTTTAATTTTGGACCCTTTTGACCTCAATGTGGACAAAGTTGATAACAGGGCTCAAAAATCAAAAATCTAAATACATGGTTAGATTCAGCATATCAAAGAACCCCATATATTCAATTTTTGTTGAAATCAAACAAAGTTTAATTTGGACCCTTTTGAACTCAATATGAACCAATTTGATAGCGGGGTCCACAAATAAAAAATCTAAATACATGGTTAGATTCAGCATATCAAAGAACCCCATATATTCAATTTTCGTTGAAATCAAACAAAGTTTAATTTTGGACCCCAATTTGGACCAACTTGAAAACTGGGCCAAAAATCTAAAATCTAAATACATGTTTAGATTCAGCATATCAAAGAACCCCACATATTCAATTTTTGTTAAAATCAAACAAAGTTTAATTTTGGACCCTTTGGACCTTAATGTAGACCAATTTGAAAACTGGACCCAAAATTAAAAATCTAAATACACGGTTAGATTCGGCATAACAAATAAATAAATGTTGTCAAAGATTTTACAAATCTAATGCGCCATACTGTCCAATTAAAGATTACTTCTTGAAATTTTTCAATATTTGAAATTTGAAAAAAAAAAAATATTTGAAGAATAATTCTTTTTAATTTCTGAAATCTGAAATGAGAACAAATTGACCCCCCACAATTTCTTTAAACCCCCCCCCCCCCCCTTCTTTTCCCCAAAAAATTCTTTCCCTCAAGATATGGTCATAATCTCAATTCAAATTTCCAATGGAGTTTGCAACCATAATTACCCATTTAAATTTACCATAGTGCTAACTTAATCTATTTTATAATAGAATTTAAAATATAGTGTCAAATCTTTCATTTGGATTTTGTTGTAAAAAAAAAAGATGCAACATTTGCAGATATTTTTACTGGTCTTCCTTTATAAATATGCATTTCTTTAAACACAATTTAAAAGCAGTGTAAGGGAAGTACCCAAAAACGTTGTATTTGGATTACCTCCCTTACACTGTTTTAAATTATCTTAATTGTTCATTAATCATTACTTTATACATAATTTAAAAGCAGTGTAAGGGAGATAATTTCAATGATGTATTTGATTTATCTCCCTTACACTGCTTTAAATTATGTTTTGTACTAAAGTATTTGTCCATTAACCAGGACAACCTTGTTTTTCCCCCTTTTTTGCCCCTAATTCTTAAATGGTTTGAGCCATAACCCCCCAAAGCAAATCCTAACCATCCCTTTGTGGTATGGAAACTTGTAGTATAATTTCAGAGAGATCCATACACCTTTCCACAGTTATTGTCTGGAAACTAGAAAATGCTTATTTTTGGCCCCTTTTTGGCCCCTAATTCTTTAACTGTTGGTACCATAACCCCCAAAATCAATCCCCACCTTCCTTTTGTTGTATTGAACCTTATGGTAAAATTTCATAGAGATCCATTCACTTAAACTAAAGTTAGAGTGCGAAAACTAATGCGTCTTCGGACGACGACGACGCCAACGTCATACCAATATACGACCACAAAAATTTTTTTGCGGTCATATAAAAACGATTTTGAAGTTTTTTTTTAATACCGCCGACCCTTTTCTGTTTGAAGAAGTACAAATAAAAATAAAAACATAATAAAAAAGATCGGCCTTTCTTCCTCCAGTCGGAATACCCTCGGAGTGGATTCGAAAATCCAGTGCGGTTCCCTGTTCAGTCAACGTTTCATCATGATCTAATGCGGTGAAAAGGAACCAGTTGAAATTGGAGGTTGACGGCAGGTCAATTTTTTTTCAAGTGTTGATCAGAAACCCGTCGAAAGGGGATGTTTTAGGGCAGTTTGTCCGCACAAAACCATTACAGACTGTAACAGACATTATTCTTGAATGTCTTAGTGAAAGCGTTTTTGTTATTGACACCCATCTTCGCTAGCCAAGGGTTACGATCAATTCCCTCCTCTTCACCCTTGGCAGATTAAGCCAACATTTGTGACTTCTATCGGTAGATTAAAGTCACGCCCATTCCGAATACATTATTCTTGACCAATGGTAGCACTTGAACTCTTCAATTTGGAGGTAAAAACACGGTAGTGTCTAGATTCTACACACTTGGTAAAGCAGAAAACGAAAATATACGTTGACATTCATGCATTTGTGCAAGAAACATACACAGGAACTTCTATTAATTGATTAAAAACATTCAAATTGTCACTAAATATAGACGTATGTTTAGGGATGTAAAGACTTGTTGCACAATAAGCACGTGGCAATTGTTTACATACACTTTCTACATTTACACGTGATCATGTTATAGGCGCTTTTTGATTGGATGCAGCGAGTTTCGACTGCAACCAATGAAAATCATTACCTTGTGTCTCCGAAATTCTATCTCAATCCGCCAAGGGTGAAGAGGAGGGAAGTGGATCGTAACCCTTGGCTAGCGAAGATGATTGACATGTGAAAGCTTCCAAGAAAGACAAATTGACTCACAGGGGTTTGTTACAATTAGCCGGGTTTACTATGCATACGAACCCCGAATTTTTTCGGGGTTCGTATGGATAGTAAACCCGGCAAATTGTAACAAACCCTTGTGAGTGGTGCGGATGCATTCAGTTTATTAATGAATACGAGGAAATCCTACAGCAGCCTACCAAAGGAAAAGTACACAAATTTAACTTGCACTCGTTGAATAAAATAGTATCCAGTGTGAGATTTTACTTGCCAAATGTTTAGGACCCGAGACAAAAATGTAAATTTCATCTCAATATATATTATAGTTCGTAACTTTTTACACTATCTTTTCGTGCTAAGAAGATGATCTTTTAGGATAAGGAGAACTGTCCTCCTTCTTAGTACATACTCTCTCTCTTTTGCCCACAAATTTTTTTTAGATCTGGACTTTGGGGGGAGGGTCAATAACTTAGGAAGGCTCATTCACAATTTTGAATAGAAGAACTGCTTCTTGAATGCTGAATTTAACGTCATTGTAGTCATGTTAAAAACTGCAAGCTGTCAAATGGTTACCCACACTGATTAAATACATATAAAAGGTTTTTTTTCACCTATTGAAGGTATAGATAAATCTCGCTACTTCCTGTATGTGAGATTCTTCAGTCTCATTTATATGAGAAATACTTTTAACACCACTGACATGTCATGCTCATTATGTCGTTACCTGAAATCTCCATTTAATTTATTTGCATTTTTTCCAAAAGCTTGTATTCACCCTGGTTTTGCTCGGGTGAGAAAAAGTATCAATCCCCAGTAGCAAAACATGATATGGAATCTCAAACCCTCTGCAAAGTTAATGTCATTGTTTTTTCTCGAATTTTGGTAAAAAAAAAAACAATATTAATTCCCAATTTTTATTTTTTTTTTTTTTTTCGACCTCCTACTGTATCCTTTTTCATTATTTTTATTTTTATTTTTTTTTCGACCTCCTACTGTATCCTTTTTCATTATTTTTATTTTTATTTTTTTTTCGACCTCCTACCCTTCCTTTTTTAAGAAGAATCCTGTAAACCAACTAATAAAAAAAAAGTGACCTAAGCAATATCTTTCAAATTTCATAAGGATCATATATATGCTATTACTTAGACAGAAATTAGTTCTGTTTATTTGACAAAACATTTTATCTATAAATTAATAAACAGCTGCGCCATGAGCGCATGATACGCCCGTTGTCTTGTGTGTGAATTTTTATGCAATAAGCATAAATAGTTTCTGACATACAGCGTGACATGCGAAAACCCCCTTTTTTTTTTACAAAATACTCAATATCTCTAAAATAAAATTTTGAATCAAAACCAAAAAGTATACAGATCTTAAGATTAATATAACTAAGAAGTGTGTAAAATTTAAAGCAATAATCATAAATTGTTTTTGAGATACAGGGTGACATGTGAAAACCCCCCTTTTAAAAAAAAAAAATCAATATCTCAAAAATAAAATTTTGAATCAAAACCAAAAAGTATACAGATCTTTAGATTAATATAACTAAGAAGTGTGTAAAATTTAAAGCAATGATCATAAATCGTTTTTGAGATACGGCACGACATGTGAAAAACCCTTCCCCCTTTTTTTACAAAATACTCAATAACTCAAAAATGAAAGTTTGAATCATCACCAAAGAGTATACAGATCTTAAGGTTAATATAACTAAGAAGTGTGTAAAGTTTTAAGCAATAATCATAAACTGTTTTTGAGATACGGCGCGACATGTGAAAAACCCCTCCCCCTTTTTTAACAAAATACTCAATATATCTAACATAAAAATTTTGAATCATCACCAAAAAGTATACAGATCTTAAGATTAATATAACTAAGAAGTGTGTAAAGTTTTGAGCAATAATCATAAATCGTTTTTGAGATACGGCGCGACATGTGAAAAAAACACACACCTGTTTTAGTTACTAAGTCCCATAACTCAAAAAGTTTTAATCTTATTTTCACCAAAAAGTATACAGATCGTTTTGACCATCATAAGAAACAACTATGTTGAAGTTTCATGAAATTTGAATAAGTCATTCTCAAAGTTACGGTGCGACATGTTTACGCTGGACAGACAGACGGACGGACACCGGACATTTGTATACCATAATACGTCCCGTCAAAAATTGATGGGCATATAAAAATATATGGAATACCTTCTTCCTTAAATCTGTTTCCCTCAAGTACTTGTTTTTCTGTAGCAATAATACCAGGTCCTTATAAATACCTCTCTGAACTGGAAAAATATCAAAAAACTATAATGTGTAAAATAAATATATAAATGTACAATTCAAAATATATTCATAGGAAGGAATAGGTTGAAGAAAATGTTCTGACATTATATCTTGATTAGAAAAGTTCCAATCTCTCATGCAAGAACTTGAAAAAGTATTTCCAAGGGTTGAAAACAGACCTGAATTTTTTTGAATATGATCAGCCATAAAAAAAATTGTGTTGAGAGTAGCATAAGGGGGTTGCTTGCTTGCTTGGATAATTAGAAACTTATTTCTTTCTTTTTTTTAATTTTCTCCTTTAAAAAAAATCAGTGGTCATGCATACTGAGGGTGTAAAAATTGATTTCATTTTGCCTTGTGAACATAAATTTAAAAACATTACATTGTATAATAAACAAATACACATATTCAGGCAGTTTTTTAATAGAGTTTTCTCCCTTTACTCATAATTGTGGCTTTTATCCTTTGATATACATGTACAGTTGTACTCATGTATTTCATACTTGTTCACTCAAAATATGCTGTTTTCAAAGTACATAAATGGCACTATAGCCTTAAAATTGAAAATCTTACTACCATTTGTATATAAGGACAAGCAAAGTATTGTAAAAAAAACATCTTTAAGACTTGTTCACTGACCATGTAAAAGATGAATTTATTTTTCAAAATTGTGTAAACACAATTGGTTAATAGACTATTTTCATATTAGCGACTTACGACTCCGGAGTTTATATTTTTCGACAGGTTACCTATTCTGTGGTAGGACATTCTGGTACCTGGTCAAGAAAGAGCAACTTAGAGAAGTAAAATCAAGCTTACAATCGGTACAATTGTGGGGGAAAACTAACTGTTACATGTTTTTTATACATGACAAAATAAACTTTCCCCCCAAATTGCACTGTTTATATGTTTGATTTTACTTCTTTTGGTTGCTCTTACTTGACTGAGTACCAGGATGTCCTACTGTGGAGTAGGTAACCTGTCGAAAAATTATATAATCCGGAGTCAAAAGTCGGTAATATGAAAATAGTCTATTGATGCAAGAACAAAATAATGCCTGCCAAATCTGGATGGAACTCTTATCAAAATACTATTATAGATAAAAATTATTAATTACCCAAATTTGAATCTAGACAAAATATTGTGAAACTACACCAAAGATTTAATTTTAGTTGAAATCAAACAAAGTTTAATTTTGGACCCTTCAAACCTTAATATGGACAAAATTTGAAGGGTGGTGGTTATTTTAGCCTTAACAATTATATGAAATAATCAATTAAAATTTCATGCGTTGCAGGGTTAAATAAAAAATGCCTTCCGACCCCCCCCTCCTCTTATAGTAATTTACATGTAACCTATTCAAAAGAAGAAATAAAATGCTCCGCTGGGGCGCAGCTTGATACGACCGCAGAGGTCGAACCCTGAACAGTTGGGGCAAGTATGGACACAACATTCAAGCTTGATACAGCACTGAATTTGGATTGTAATTAAATATTTGACACAGTATAGGTTTCTGACACAGAATGAAAGTGGTCTAAGAACTTAAAAATTTTCAATTTACCTATTCATACGTGTGATGGACTGTGAAACTCAGATCAGGAGATTGGGAAATTTTGGTCAGGAGATTAGGACTCAGATCAGGCGGTTTTTAATCAACATTAATTTTGTTGTAAATGTAACCGTGTGCTGTAAAAATGGTCTTTTAAAGTGTGTTTTCTTCAACTTTCCATCCAATTTATTATGTTTATAGTACCCTTGTACTTATAAAGTTTCTCCATCTTTATATTCTACATGTTCAAACTAACATTGTTTTTTTCCAGTATGTTCTTTAAATTTTTTACTTCATATTCTATAAAACAATCATTGCAACCAGAACATTTGTTTAGCTATCTGCAAATAGTTTTTATTTTTTTTTTTTTCTCTTGCAAATAGTTTTTATTTGCAAACTCAGAAAATCATTCTATCTGTAAAATATGGGTCATAGTTATTATATAAATTTCAATTTAAGCCTTGAAAGGAAGTATAGAATCCTCAAATAATTTTCAAATTATTATTTTTTTATTTGTCCTAAGACATTTAAAATCATTTAATAACCATCCTTTTATGATTATTTGTTCAATTTATATTTTATTTATATTCTTTTAAAAATTTTCATTATTAAAAGGAAAGTAACTTAAAACAGGATAAATCAAGGGAAGTAACCCAATAAATACACAGTTTTTGTTACACAACGGCAGTTAGCCTGAGGTAAAAATCGTTGATTACCAGTATGTTTGACACCCAAGCTGACAAGTGAAGCCATATAATTATGCATGTTAATTGATTTACAGGTAAAATATAACTTCAGGTAATGTCAGTTACACCAGATGCCTGAGATGATATGTTGGGCAGAAATTTTTCATTCATGAAAAATTTCATACACGGGATTTTTTCCTCTTCAACGGGAGGTCGGGAGGAGACCCCTGAAAACGGGATTATTGTACTCCCGTCGGGAGGTTCACATGTATGCCTATTCAAACCATATCATTATTATTTGCTTTTATATATAAATCAGAAATAACCAATTTAAAATGGAAAATGTTAAAGAAAAAAAAGGAAAAAAAAAGTCCCCCCCAATTTTTTGAACCCCCTTATGATTCATCAGCCCCAAACTCAATCCCAGCTTTCCCTTTGTGGTATGGTACCTTGCAGTACAATTTCAGAGAGATTCATACACTTGAACACAAGTTATTGTCTGGAAACTAGAAAAATGCTTGTTTTTTGGCCCCAAATTCCTAAACGTTTAGGGCAATTACCCCCAAACTCAATTCCAGCTTTCCCTTTGTGATATGGAACCTTGCAGTACAATTTCATAAAGATCCATACACTTACACACAAGTTATTGTCCTGAAACTAGAAAAATGCATGTTTTTTTTGCCCTTTTATGGCCCCTAATTACTAAAATTTTGAGGGAAAACCCCCAAAATCAATCCCAGCCTTCCCTTTGTGATATGGAACCTTGTAGTACAATTTCATAAAGATCCATACACTTACAAACAAGTTATTGTCATGAAACTAGAAAAATGCTTGTTTTTTGCCCCTTTTTGGCCCCTAATTCCTAAAATTTGGAGGAAATTACCCCAAAAATCAATCCCAGTATTCCCTTTGTGATATGGAACCTTGTAGTACAATTTCATAAAGATCCATACACTTACAAACAAGTTATTGTCATGAAACAAGAAAAATGCTTGTTTTTTGCCCCTTTTTGGCCCCTAATTCCTAAAATTTGGAGGCAATTACCCCCAAAATCAATCCCAGCATTCCCTTTGTGATATGGAACCTTGTGGTACAATGTCAGAGAGATCCATACACTTACACACAAGTTATGTCTGGAAGTTACAAAAATGCTTATTTTTGGCCCCTTTTGGCCCCTAATTCCTTAACTGTTAGTACCATAACCCCCAAAATCAATCCCCACCTTCCTTTTGTGGTATTGAACCTTATGGTAAAATTTCATTGAGATCCATTCACTTAAACTAAAGTTAGAGTGCGAAAACTAATGTGTATTCGGACGACGACGCCAACGTCATACCAATATACGACCACAAAAATTTTTTTGCGGTCGTATAAAAACAACAGTAAATTCACTCACAAAAAAGTCCATACAGTGCTGTAACAAAATGATGCAAAAAAAAAAAAAAATAAAATAAAATCACTACAATGGCACAAAATAACTATCCTGAGAATCCTGAGTGTAATCATGGTTGACAAATCTAAAAAAATTGAAATAAACTTGATACAAGAAATGAGCTGTCAAATTGAAAGCAAATGGGGTTTTCTGTATCCCTTGTTGAGCTTAAGAGGGCAGTTAGTAAGAATGATATTGATGTATTCTTATGTATGGCACTTTCAGGCTTGTTTGACCTGCAACTTTCTATGCCCATTTTCCAATCTGTCAAAGATCATATGTCCTAAAGTGTTAAAGTAAAAATAGTCAATATCAAACTTGCCCTCAATTTAGTCATCAGTAGCAGCCAATTGAAATTTCAATTGTATTGGCTTAACAGTTCATAGATTATTGCATGTAAAGGACACCAAGTGCCATTATCCCATTTCTTTTTATTATGTAAAATAAATAATGATTTAAGACATGTCTTGTTTAACGATTTAAAAACTCAATACAAAGATTTTTCTGATAATAAAATGAAATATATTCTACTCCAACTACTAGTCAGCAAGTGAAATCTTTAAGCTCCTTTATTAAACAGTCTATTGAAATGAGGACAGGGGACACTTGAGGTCATTTGTTGTTTTATGTGTTTAATATTTTGTTTTATTTTGACGTAAATGTAAATGTCATCATTCTATTGTTGTTAATACATGTAATTGTTATGCCTTTGACCCTCTTATGGGCGTAATTTGTGCTTAAAATAATAAAGTTATTATCCAATCTATCAAGGACCACAACTCCTGAATGACAAGTGAAAATTGCCAATATCAATTTTGACTTCCATTTTGTCATCAGTAAAAACATCTTTAATTTTGAAAAGCATTGGTTGACCTGTTCATAAGTTATTGCATAGAAATGATAAAAAATGCTGTTTTCCAATCTATGAAGGACCTTAACTCCTGAACAGCAAAAGTGAAAATAGTCAATATCAAATTTCACCTCCACTTTGTCATCAGTAACAACATATTAAAATTTGAAAAACATTGGTAGAATGGTTCACAAGTTATTGCAACGAAACAACACAAAGTGCTATATTCCAATCAAGACTGTACATGTATCAAGGACCATAAAATAGTAAATATCCAAGTTGAACTCCCATTTTTTTATCAGTAACAACATATTAAAATTTCAAAGCATTGGTTAAAAAGTTCTTGCACAGAAACTGTCGGCAGCCGACTCCTGTGTAATTCACCACCATTTTAATAACCATATCTTATGCCTAAAAACTTGGTTAATAAAATGTACTTACTTGAATCTCCAATGATAACAATGAATTTATTATGCAGTAACTTGTTAGCATCTTCCTGTAGAAACATATGCGTCTTATTAGAAGTCTTCACCATCTCAATAGAATATCTGTCAAATAAATCATTTGTAAATTATATGTATAAGCATGATAAGATTTGCTAAAATAAAGATTCATGTTCTAAGGCACTGTAAGTAACAACAGTAACAGGATACCAGTTACAAGTGTAGAAGATCTTGCTCTAGCAGAGGTCTATTATAATGTTTACTAAGTAACAATAACCTGATAACAAGTTTAGTATGAGGCAGGTGTAACATGTGAAAGAGGACGAAGTCTGTTAGACATGAAAATATAGTCTAATTGATTTTTAACAAGAAAACAATTTTTTAACTTTGTGCAATGCAATTAAAATAAAAGAAGAATGTCTCCGAGGACAGTAATGCCCCTGCTCAAGCTTGCTTATAATACATGAAAATACTATTTGAGAGCATTCGATGTCACTGCTTGTTTTAAAAGAGTTCTATTGTTTTAATCTTAGGTATTTTTGTGCTGTGTTATTTTCATATTTTCATGAATGTTTTGTTTTTATTTCTTATGTAATGCCAATGTGAGCTAAAAAGGAATGACTCGTGTCTACCTATTGAGCACTGTAAATGTATGATATTTCATCTGGAAATAATGATTTACCTATATGGACAAGATTTTTAACAAATCTTTCTTGAACATGTATATTGTGCAGATGTTTATACTAGATTGAATATCTTTTCAAGTAAAAGTGTATTGTGGCCTTATTGCCAGTGTTTTCCATAAGAACCAGTTGCCGGCCAAATTGACCGTTTCAAACAGTTTTTGGGCCGGTTCAGCAAAAAATTATGGGTACATATTTTACTTATTGTTCTTGGTTTATATTTACATTTGAGAGTTCCGAGGAGTGTTTCTATTGAAACACTCGGCCGTTATCCATCAAACGAGATTTCTTAGGAAAATCCTGAGAGATAGCCATGCGATGAATGATGAAACGTTCAATTACAGATTCTCCCCCCCCCCCCCTCCCGCTAAGCGACACAAAGGTGTGCATTTTTACGATAATATATTCGATTGCATGCATGAGTTTGATTGTTTTTCAATTTGTTCTGTTGTGTTTAGTTTAATTCGCAAATGAATCAATGGCATGATAATTAATTTGCATGATGGTTCGAATAGACCCACCAAGGCCTGAAAACTTCAAACTTATGAGCGCAGACATAATTTTTAGAAAAAAAGTACTGCTAATAATATGTCCATTTGACAAGCACGAAATCTTCTTAGAATTCACCAGATGCCATGATTTTGAGTCTAGATTTCAAGAAATTTTCTGTGACCGCCTTCTTTATCATTTTGGCTTGTAAGGCCAAATGACTGGAAAACCCTGATTGCTATCAAATCAAATCAAGATAATTGTACTCCAGTGTGAATATATGTAGCAGAAATAAAGGATTTTCATCAAATAAAACATAAAATATCATTCATTGTAGAAGTCTGTTAATCAATTATAAACAGTGTTAAAACAAATTTTCATTTCAAAAATAATATACTGATCAGTTGAAATTAGGCACATCAGTATACAGTGTTGAACATACATGTACTAATTCTTTGATTTCACATGGCCAATGTGATAATAGTCAACTTTCGAGTTCGATGCATTTCCATCAAAAACTTTGGTTTTAGTGAACATCATTCGTGCGTGTAGGGGCATCGTCACTCCCGTTCCCATGTTGAGCGAGTGGTTGGAAAAATTTGATGCTATATTGCACGAATTATTGGGCAAATCAAATTCTTATAATTAACAATCAGCACTGATCTCCATTGAATTGTCATAGATGTCTTTCCTCCTCCACCAGACATGACTTATAACGAGCACATGGCGGGTGTCTTGCAAGAAGCAGGAACTGCTCATCCTTGCAGAACACCTGAGTTCACCCCCAGTTTTTAGGAGTTTGTGCTGTTCATCGATGTGTGTACTTTTTAGTTTTTTTAGTTATATGTTGGTTATCTGCGTCTCCGTTGTTTTGGTGTTCTCATTTTTGTTCTTTGTCTTTTTGGCACTTTGTATATAAATAAGATGTGGTATGAGTGCCAATGAGACAACACTTCATCCAAGTCACAATGCATTTAAAGTTAACAATTAAAGGTCAAAGTACGGCCTTCAACACGGCAAGGAATTGTATATTTAAAAGGAATGGAAACGCGGCCTACTTCAAAGAAAATTGTATGATGCATCTCTGACTTGGGTGGTGTGTTAATTACATCCCGTCGCTCTAACTGGCTCATTACTTATCTGGCAGTAGTTATCGAACTTGGTCATTTAATCATGAAATGAAACAAGGAATTGTCTATTTAGATATACATACAATGTATACAATTCCTTAAATGAAATAAACAAAAAATACAACCTGAACAAAGTTACTTCTGAAAAACATTTTTTTTCTTGTAACTCCTCTTGATATTTCACGAAGGTATGCAACAATTAAGATCAATTAATAGATGAAAGCTGACATTATACGAGTTTTTAAAAAGATTTAAGGTAATGAAAAAAGTTTAAAAAATAACTTTTCAATTTTGGAATATGACTGGTTTAGAAAAGTATAAAAGGAAGAAGTACGTGAACAGATGTAGTATTTTGTCTAGATAAAAGAACTTAGATAATAGGTGTTATAATAAACACCGGTATGGGATATCCAATTTGCAGGTATAATCTATCATGTATCATTGATAAGCTAATTTTTGTCGTATATATATTTACAGTACGCACAGAGAGTTTGTAATCGCGAACTCTAATCACGGATTTCGAAGTGTAGCGGTCACACCGCGAATCACGGATTATACTCCCAATTTCCTCCAAAGATTCTCTCCCAACACCGCGTGGCTGTTAATTGGTTTATTGCCCATCGGATGTACTGAAAATTAATGACGCGTGACAACATAATCGGATTAGCCAGATTTATTACCTTTGTACATTTAATCGATCTTGATTGCACCTGTGTGCTTTAAAACACGGTATTAAAATTTCCTTTCTTTGACAGATAAAAATGTGACATTTTCATTCAAAATAAGATAATTATTCTTGTATGTATTTGCCCCATGTCATTGTCATTTGAAATAAAACGTACAAACGTACATTATAAAAATACAAATCAAACACTTATTTTGTATTTTTATTATAGTCCGGTCAAAATGATGTTTTGACTGTAATTTGTCCAATCTAAACACAAGAGTTAATTTGTCGGATCAACAAGTGAACTCTGTTACTTTCAATTTATTTTGCAATGTAAAATATTATGTTTCACTACCTCGGTAGATTACCGACTTGAAATATTTGAACTCAGAAAAGAAACTGTAAAGTGACAACTCTGTTGAACGAAGGGAAAACGTTTTGTATGCAATGTGCCCTATATTTATAAAAACACAACACTGAGAGACATTCCCCGCCCAGACACAACACAATAATCACAACCTAATTTAATTATATGAAGAAAAAAAAATCATGTGTTGTTTGTCTCTGTTATGATCTGTTATTGATCCTTTATTATTAAAAATAAAATTGGATGGGCGCAATCCGTATTTTACTGCTCGTTTAAAGTCCTTGGCGAAATAAAAAAAAGAAGTATTTCAACAATTAATACTATAGAATATTTAAATGAAATTATATCGTGTTCTACAAGAAAGAAATATGTGAAAAAAATGTGGATCGGATTTTTACGATCTAAACATTTTCACAGAGGATCTCTACCAACGCCCAACAGGAACTGAACGACATGCATCCTGTTTTCATCTACATTTATGTATATTGTTGACCATGGACGTATAAATAATGTCCAGGTTTATGTCCTGTGTTGACTGAGAAACGTAAAATTAAAAGGCTGGTGTTCGTTTATTCAGAAAAGGATTATATTTTAGATTCCGGTTAATCAATTGTAAAAGGACCTTCTAGAGCCTCAATCTTAAGGCATACAAATGTCAATCATTCCAAAGCAAATTTAAACCCCGAATGAATTTTCCCACGGTCATCCAGAAAGGTCACCTGAGTTTACCGTTACATGATAATATTTCCCGCCAAATAAAAATCTCGTGGACAAAATTTATGTAACTATTTTTAGCATTCAATATTGTGAGCGAAGTCAAGTTCAAAGTTCAACCACGGACTGTTGATCACTGAGATGTGTATCGTCTTCCCACGGCAATTAATTTCTTTTAAAAAATTTAAAAATCACTGTCCTTTATACAACACACAAGTTTACATTCATTGTGCGTAAATGAATATTATGCAACGAGGAGTTGATGCAGCTATAGAAGTATTCCTGTTGTAGCCGAAATGTAATTATTTATCCTAAAGTAATGCCAACAAATCGTAAAGAGAAAATGCCGTAGACTTATTAAGCATAACGAATGGTGAATAGTATTTTCTTTTTTACTTGCATATACAAATTTTGAGACACATAATTTTCTTTAAACTGCTCACTTTTATATTCAGCGTTAGTTTACTGTTTATTTTTACGCAAGTATGTCTCTTTTCGTAAATAAAATAATTTACAGATGAACTTAAACAAGGTCAAAATCAAGTATAGTTTTTGTTATAAAACTTTAATGCAATTGAAAGAATTAACAACAATATTCTGCTTTTAAATCTTTAATTTGTTTCAAGCAATTATGTAATCGTAAAATGAAAATGGCGTGGACTTATTAGCATAACGAATAGTGAATAATATTTTCTTTTTTACTTGTATACAAAACTTTGAGACATGTAATTTTCCTTTAAACTGCCCACATTTATTCAGCGTAAGTCTCCGTTTATTTTTACACAAGTATATCTCTTTTGTAAATGAAATAATAATTTACTGACCAGAAAAAAAACGAGGTAAAAATCAAATATAGTTTTTTTTTAATAAAACTATTTTTAAATGTACAGTGTAATTGAAAGAATTAACAACAACATTTTGCTTTTAAATCTTTTATTTGTTTCAAGCAATCAGAAATATAACCTGATTATCAATAGACAGGAAATACAATTGTTTAATTACATAAGTAATCTCACATACCTTGACTGTCGCGTGCCGGTATAGATCAGAAGGATTAGGGCAATTAATTACCTGGTGTGACACCGCGTCACACCGGACTGGGAGAGATGTCGCTAATACAATAAACAAAAGGTAGCGAATTTACGCGGAAGTCGGAGGGAATACTCCCAAATTTCTCTGAGAATTTAGGGAGGGATGTCGGAGTTTCCTGGTGTCACACCAAGAAAAAACTTGGTGTGTGGAGTTTGGGAAGCCTTTTGCGAAATTTGTACTGTAAGCAGGAACAGTGTATACTAACTATAGGCTGTCCCTGATTTAAGGTGTCAAAAAGAAATCACGCCGAGCTAACCTGTTAATAAATGCTTAATTTTGCCGTGGTGCAATAATTTTTTTAATAAGAAATAGTTAAAACTTTCCGACATTCGCATATTATTTATTTTAACATCGAAGGAATATTTTGCGACCTCTAGACTACTGCTCTTCTAGAAAAAAGGAAAGAACTGTTTTGCTTTTAAGCTTGTGGTAATTTGCTGCAAAGCCTAATAATGGCAAACTGCAGTACCAAACAACGATTATAAAAATAGTATTTGATAAAAAAATAAATGATTAAAATCGTGTATAAAACGGCACAATCAATCCCAATCGAAGTCTTATATACATTTCTTGCCTGTAATTTCCGACTTCGTCGGTGTGGGTCTTGACTGATCAAAATGGCGTCAATGTGAACTATAAACTTGGGATTTTAAAAAATCATAGCAAATTCGTTTTTATCACCATTTTCAAAAAACCAACACTATGTTATAGAAAAAAGACTAAGCTTTTAAATTATATGTTGATGTCACATCTATTTCAAGTAGTTTTTTAACCCTTACCAGAATACGGCGTGTATTTATTGACGCACTACTTAAAATTTTCAACATGTTTCGAAATAAAATCATTTACATTGTACCAATATCATTTGGCATTCGTAATTTATACCAAACTGTAGGAAAATATTCCTTCTTTAAAATGATATCTCATTTTCTCACTTTATTCTTTCTACTTTCCAATATTTAAACGTATTACACTCCCAGATTGAAAGACATGTTTTGACAGAATAATGAAATTCAAAACTGAAATTTCGAAAAATTGTAAAAAATTCAGAAATGTTACCAGAAACTTAAAAAAATGGCAAAATGCTAAAATAAGGTTTCAGCTTCATAATGATATCAACTATTTTGTTTTGCACTTCTTAGTTGCCAAGCTTTTAGAAAAAAATCAAAACACTGTATTTTTTGTTTTGTAATCCGGATGAAACTCACTCAAGTTTCAAAATGATACCTAAGGCCTTAACTATTCACGGAATGGAAGTTTATTCTTGATTTTGGGTTTCTCTCTCCTTTATATCTTCTTAAGCAAGATGACCCCGTGAATTTAAAAGACCGATCTATATGACAGGAAATGGATCGCCGTCATGATTCTTTATATTATTCATCATATCGTCTCGTATTGTGTTTTCGACCGTCTTACGTTTTCGACCTAATTGTACTTTCACTTCCCGTATGCTGCGCATGCCTGTGTGACGTCACATTTGGCTGCTATATTTAGTAACAATAGCAAATAATACCACGTGTGGTGAAGATGTTTCAAGTAAAGTTATTATAATTAAGTATTTACGTTATTTTATTTGATATCACATTTTTGTACCTTTTCACTAATACTATTTTTACCTTCCACAAGAATCTATCAAAAATAAACAAATATTCTAGAAATATGGCCGAGGACTTTTAGCATGTGAATTTAACATCAAGGTCTTTACGTCACATGACTGTCATGTGGTTAGTTGTAATACTTAAAGTTATTTTTAATACGGAAATGTGGATGATCCTTACAGCTTTTTGCTCAAAAAAATAAAATATCAATTGATTTTAATTCACAGAAACAGCAGTCTGTCAGGGGAGATTACAGACAATACTCACCAACCTCACTTCACAATGCCTTCACTAAAGTATATTGAACAGAAACATGAATGTATACAAGGTCCTACAAGGATCTACAAGGTTTCCAAAGTGCCTCATGTGAAATGTGTACAACTAGTCAAATAAAGATATCAAAATAATATTTTATATCTTATAGTTGTATATGTCACCATTTAATTCATTAAGTCATAAGTTTGATCGCCTCTAAAACTTTAAATAATTTGATATAAACATTGGCATCAAATTATAACCGATTCCGGATTTGTACGACATGTCATTTCCGACTTTGGACGTTTCTTAGATAGGTCGAAAACACAAGACGCTAGTTTTTGTCAACAAAGGTGCCATCGATCTAATGAACTCAAATAAAAAAAATATTTAAGATCGAAATATATTTTAGATACAATTATTTCATGTACAAGTATACTAGTGACTCTAAAAAATATTAGGCATGTATATGTTCAAACATATAAAAGGGGAAATCATTGATAAATATGTAAGTAGGTCGAAAACACAATACACGAGGATACTTCCCATCAAGTCAGACATGGATAATAGCTCTGAGGGTGCTCTGCGGATCTAGAGCCGCGTTTCCATTCCTTTTAAATATACAATTCCTTGAATACGGAGCCTTGGTTCACACCGAACAGCAAGCTATAAAGGGTCCCAAAATGACTAGTGTAAAACAATTCAAACAGGAAAACCAACGGTCTAATCTATATACAAACCGAGAATCACATATGAACCACACAAACAAACGACAACTACTGTCAGTACTGAACAAGAGGCTCCTGACAGGACAGGTGCATAAAATGCAGCGGGTATGGACAGTTTTCCTTAAAGGTTTCTGTATTGTGCTAATACAGAAATATGCTAATGTCAGAGAGCAAAAGACATTTGTTTCTGCATTACTTATAATAAAGGTAAAATAGATCTATCACCTATTAAACTCTGTCAGGCTGTTGCAGGCAGTAAATGTTTGAGGTTGTCGAAACTTTCGAACTTCCGGTACATTTCCGCGGGAAACCGTGCGGTGGGGGGTCGTCTCAAAACTGATTTTTTTTGTATTATCCTATTATCGTATTTTGGTTGGCAGATTTCTTTTCTTGCTGTTTCTTTTTTTTTTATTTTAAATAAAGTTCTAAAGTTTTTTTCTTCTTAAGCTTTTGTTTTGTTGTGTTATTTTTTGTTTGTTTGTTTTTCTTTGTTTTTGTTGGTTTATTTTTTTTTTTTGGGGGGGGTAATTGAAGCCAAACAAAAATAAGTAAATGTGGTATGATTGACTATTTTGTCCAACAAAGACCAAAGGGTGAGGATCTAAACAACTATACAGGTCACTGTCAGGGGCAGATTCAGCCGTTTTTAAAATGGGGGGTTCCTAACCCAGGATAAAGGGGGGGTTCCAACTATATGTCCCCATTCAAATGCATTGATCGTCAAAAAAAAGGGGGGGTTCCAACCCCCAGAACCCCCCTGGATCCGCCACTGACTGTACGGTAGAGTCTTCAACAATGAGCAATACCAATACTGTATATGAACTTACATTGGCTCTGAAAGTATAACAGAATGTAAACAAAATTCAAAGGTAAAAACTGACAGCCTTAATATGACTAGTAAAATGAAATAAAAAAACCATTAAGCCAGACAGGCAGCATCTCATGACCACAAATTGACTACTCCAGTCCCTGTCTTGGAACAGTCACACTGAATGTATTAGGCAAAACACAGGCCTGGAATCCATCCTCATTGTATCGTTAGGCTCCATGTCCAACATTTTCAGTTCTAGGGTAATTCGAGCAATTTTTTTGGTCTCCACACTCCACTAATAGGGCCACAGACTCCAATGATAGGACTCCCAGCACTGTCAGTAGGGATCCAGGCTCAAGATACATGGGTTCTGTAGAAACTGTGGAGCCCATGTTGTTACCCCAAAAGTAGTGTGGTTTAAAATGTCAAGTTGGTGCTCATTATGGAGTCCCCTATTCTGAGACAAAAGTGCAAACCCAAATTAGAACAAACAACAATAAGGAATGAGCTTTCAAATTGACAGCAAACTGGGTTTTCTGTATTTTAAAAGGTGCTATCATGCTTTTTTTACCCGACACATTCTATACCTATTTTCCAATCTATCAAGGACCATAACTCCTGAACAGCAAAAATGAAAATCATCAATATCAATTTTGATCACCATTTTGTCATCAGGGACAAAATTAAAATTTTAAGAGCATTTGTTGAATGGTTCATAGGTAATTGCAAAGATATGACATAAAGTGCCGTTTTCCAATATATTCAAGGACCAAATCTCCCAAACTGAAGGATAAAAGTGAAAATTATCAATATCAAACTTGACCTCCATGTCACTAGTACCAACATATTATAATTGAAAACCATTGGTAGAAGGGATCATATTTGAAAGGAAACAACATATAGTACCATTTTCTAATAGTTCAAGAACCATAACTCCTGAATAGTAAAAGTGAAAATCATCAATATCAAACTTGACCTCCATTTTGTCATCAGTATCAACATATTAAAATTTGGAAAGCTTTGGTTGAACGTTTCATAAGTTATTGCATTGAAACTGTTGGCACCTGCCTGTACACCGTACTTCACCATTTTATTCGAATAAATGTGCAGTTCTGTGAAAAGAATGTTAACAGTGACAGCGTTTTACTATGTATATTGAAAGTTCCAATGACTAATTTAGTATAATGTTGAAAATAGGTAGATCCTAGGTAATTATAACATGCTTAGGACTATTTCGTACACTCTTAATAATAATGGGTGAATAAAAATAACTTTAGATTTTGAATGCAATTTTTTCTTCAAATTATTTTTATTAATATGTAGCAAACACTAACATGACTAATAGCAGTGTATCAAGCTTCTTATGCAATTTTCTCAATAAATAATGAAAATAAGACTATATGATTTAACATAATTTAAATGATATATACCAGTTATACAATGTGGCTACTGACTTTATTTGAATAAAGAACTACTTGTCTTTTGTCAGCTGATTATTAAGCTAACAACAATCTATCAAAAAATGTTTAACAGCTCAATATTTTGTATGAATTAAAACAAAATTATTATGATGAAAAGCATGAAAATATGTATATCTTCATTATACCAAAGAAAGAATAAAATGAATAACATTGAGTACACCTTACCAAAAAAAACCTGACTCCTCAGAAAAAGTAGGTGTACCAACAAAGAAAAACAACACTGAATAACACATAGACAAGATCTCAACATCTGTCTAATTTAAATTCTAAATTCAAAATTTTTTCAAAGTTTTCTGATGAAATGAAATTTGTTTGGATTCTTTCATCTGAAGATTTGTTTGTTACTTCAAATTTGTCTTAATTATTGCACTCCCTTTTTAAAGAACAAAAGAAACATCTAGGAAAATCAATGTAGTTTAAAAAATAGAAAAATAAAAAAAGTTGATCAGTTGTCGTCTCCCATAGGCCTAGGTCTATAAATTAAGAAACCTATTTTCTCCAGGTCACAGTGGCTTCCAAAATGACTTAATGTTTATGTTACTTTGTTTAAATGAGTATACATGTTTTTGTTTATAAATGTACTTTAATCACTCTAATCATTCTAATCATTTACTGTGCTTTATTTTGTAATTCATTTGATTGTATAGCTCAAATTTTGAGCACCATGATTGGTTAATAAAATATCTTGTATCTTGTAACATAGTCTGACTTGGTTACAGACACAACATGTGGTGGGGTTAAACCAGTTTTAAATGTGCACAAACAAAACCCTAAATAATACCCTCTTTTTTGTGTCCTTATGTTATCGAGTTGATGTCACATTAATGATGGGGTTTACAGAATAATGGCCAAAAAGATTGAAGAATAGAGTAAAATAGGCCGATAAAATAAAGAATATAGAATAGTGGCCCCTAAGTGGGGTACTACAACTTAAAGAATATAGTAACATGGCTTAAAAAACTGAGGAATACAGACAATCATTATGGTTTACTCCTAATATTTAGAGAAAAAAAAATGGGTTCTTGTTGTTCAGTCTTTAGTTTTTATGTGGTGTTTTGTAGATTGCTGCCTGTCTTTTTGTCTCTTTTTTTTTGCCAAGATTTTGATTGATCTTTGACTTATGAGTTTTTATCCTGCCTGAGGTATCTTCTGCTACTTTTTTTGAAGCTTTGAAAAGAAGCTGTAAGACATAAAGTATAAATTTACATAATAAAAGGGAACATTTTTATTTTTTTGTTTCATCAGTTTCATTATCTTCACTGTCATCATCATCATCTTCATCATCTTGTTCATCTTCCTCCACATCATCGTCCACACTAACATCTTCATCTAATCCACTTTTACCTATTAGAATGTAATCTAAACCCTGAAAGGAATATTAAAAAATAAAAATTTACGCTGTATAAAAGTACATTTTGTATATCTATTTAATAAACAAGAAATCAAAATGTAAAACATGTGTGTTAAAAGCTCATTAAATAAGTTATTATAATAAATGTGTGCTTTGGATTCACTATTATTCTACCAAGAATTTTAGTGTTCAACAAAATTTAAATAAGTTAATTAAAATTAATTACTTAAGTCAATGCAAATATCACAGGCACTTGTTTATATCCCAGGGGTGGATCCAGCCATTTTTAAAAAAGAGGGTTCCAACCATATGTCCCCATTCAAAAGCATTGATCATCCAAAAAAAAGGGGGGTTCCAACCCCAGGAATCCTAATATAAAAAGGCTTTAAATGCTAAAAATCACAAAATAGGAATACGAAATTGCTTTAACATGTTTAAAGCAGACATAAAAATATCCATATCACTTAATTTTCCATGGGACATTACTCTCCCACAAAAATATTTAATCATTGCTGATTTTTTTTATTTTTGAAGATGTTGCTGATAAATACTTTTGAAAATCAAATGAGAAGTTTAAGATGTTGTAAAATTTTGTCTTAATCTTTTCATTGAGGAGATCAAGAGCTAATTTAATGTATGTATATATCGATATATTGTGCATTGAAGTCAGGGATGCATCTAATTTGTCAAAGTAAAATAATAGACCACATCAAATTAAATTTATGTTATTTAATTTGTATTGCTCCAATTTTCTGTCATGCCTGTAATGAATATGAATAGAAGGAGATGTGGGGTTACTGGGGTATATGTCAATGAGACATCTAGACACTAGACATATATGGGCCTAACAATTACTACATCCTGCTTAAATTTCATACTTATCTATTTACAGCAGAATAGAAATACAAGGGATAATGTTATCACATGCTCAAGTATATCAAGTTTCAATTGATTTTTTTACAATTAACATAGACACATTTTCAACAAGAAATGATTGTAACAGGATGCTGTTACGAAGTCTCCCAAACGAAGCTCCCATAATTCGTAATTCCCAGGGTCGCCTGACATTGGGCAACGTCCAGTGAAAATTGGTTTGGTCCAGTAAGGTTATATGCATTAGTGATGCCTGGGGACTAACCTTGTATATCATTCAAATCATCTTGGCATGACAAACAAGAATATATATGGTTTAGGGGTGGGGATCTCGACCATTTACAAGATACTAGAACATTGGGGGTGGGGAGGAACCCCTGGGGACTGGCCCTATACGTCATTCAAATGTTCATTACATGATGAACAGGAATATATATGGTTTAGGGTTGGGGGATCTCAACCATTTACAAGATATTAGAACATTGGGGGTGGGGGGAACCCCTGGGGACTGACCGTATACATCATTCAAATGTTCGAGACATGACAAACCAGAATATATATGGTTTAGGGGTGGGGATCTCGACCATTTACAAGATATTAGAACTTTCTCAAATGGCAGAGAGTCGGGATGACCCCTGGGGACTAACCCTATATATCATTCAAACCATCTTCGCATGACAAACCAGAATATATATGGTTTAGGGGTGGGGATCTTTACCACTTAGAAGATATTAGAACTTTCTTAAATGGCAGGGGGTGGGAGTGACCCCTGGGGACTAACCCTGTATTTCATTTGATGTGCTTTATCATGACAAACTAGTATATATATGGTTTAGATGTGGGGATCTCGACCATTTACAAGATATTAGAACTTTCTCAAATGGCAGGGGGTCGGGATGACCCCTGGGGACTAACCCTGTATATCATTCAAACCATCTTAGCATGACAAACCAGAATATATATGGTTTAGGGGTGGGGATCTTGACCACTTAGAAGATATTAGAACTTTCTTAAATGGCAGGGGGTGGGGGTGACCCCTGGGGACTAACCCTGTATTACATTTGATGTGCTTTATCATGACAAACCAGAATATATATGGTTTAGGGGTGGGGATCTCGACCATTTACAAGATATTAGAACTTTCTCAAATGGCAGGGGGTCGGGATGACCCCTGGGGACTAACCCTGTATATCATTCAAACCATCTTAGCATGACAAACCAGAATATATATGGTTTAGGGGTGGGGATCTTGACCATTTACAAGGTATTAGAACTTTCTTAAATGGCAGGGGGTGGGGGTGACCCCTGGGGACTAACCCTGTATTTCAATTAATGGGCTTTATCATTTAGAACATTTTCAATTAAAAAGATTGTGTCTATCACAAACAGTTTTCAATTTATAATCATTTGAAAATTTTAAAAAATAAAATCCCATAGGGTTCTATAGTAAAACCCTCTTTTCTTTTTGCCCCTCAAAGTACCCCTTTATAAATCCCATTGCACAAACAAAACCCTGATTGCACCACTAGACATGTTAGTCTAACATATTGTGAAACCCTAAGTTAATTTGACAAGCGGTTTTGGAGAAAGGGTGCGGACAAGTTCAAATTTAAAAGCGGCGGAAGAAGAAGAAGAAGAAGAAGAAGAAGAAGAAGAAGAAGAAGAAGAAGAAGAAGAAGAAGAAGAAGAAGAAGAAGAATAATAATAAGAACTGAGCAAAAACAATAAGTCTTCCCAAACTTCGTTTGGGAGACTTAATTACAAATATATTCATAACTTGCTGTTCAGTGTGAGCCAAGGCTCCGTGTTGAAGGCCGTACTTTGACCTTTAATTGTTTACTTTTTATACATTGTGACTTGGATGGAGAGTTGTCTCATTGGCACTCCTACCACATCTTCTTATTTATATATTATATATAAATCCTGGAGCTTGTAAATAACCTCCTTTAAAATGCTCTCCGGAAAATATTTTAATTTTTTGTCAATTCATAAAAAACACTACAAATTAAACAGGTGTTGCATCAAAAAAGATCAAATATTCTAGAATTTGTAAATGGTGTCTGCAAATACCCCAAAGAAAAAAAAAACAAAAACTACAGCATGTACATACTTACCTTCCAGTGATCAGGTTTTATATCAATCATATTATCTCTTAAATCAAACTTTGTTAACTTTGCAAGTCCAAGAATAGTATCATCACTAACAGTTTTGATCACATTATTTTTTAAAAGCAGTGTAACTAGTTCTGACATCTCAAGAACACAACAGGGAACTTCTGCGAGACAATTGTAATTTAAATTCAAATATGTTAGCTGTTTAAAGTCTTTGAATTCTGATGATAATTCTTCAAACATATTTTCTGCTAAGCAAAGCCATTGTAGTGATATTAAATTATAAAAAGATTTTGGTAGTGAGTTTAGTGCATTTTCACGAACACTCAATTTCTCAAGTAATTTCAAGTTTCCAATGTCATTAGGTAATGATTTTAGCTGACAGTTAACTAGCCATAGCTGATGCAAGGTTATAAGCTCACAGAACTCATCAGGTAGAAATCCAAGTGGATTCCCACACAAATTCAAATAAGTCAAATTCTGAAGCTTTCCAACACCCTGTGGCAACATTGTCAATCTGTTGTTGTTCAAAACCAGCTCCTGTAATTGCAATAGCTGTGTAATTTCAGTTGGAGGCATTAAAATCTCATTATCATTCAGTAACAGTCTTATGACATGTGTTAGTTGACTAATATTGTTAGACAGAACTTTTATGTTGCGATGACTCAAGTTCACAACTTCTGATTTGCTTGCAATAGCTTTCTGAATGATGTTCTCCACCGCCATCACATCCATGGCCATTGTTTTGGATCAAATTTGTATTTTACAAATCCATATCTCTTTATGATTAAGAAAACCTGTAATAGAAAAAATTTTCATTATAAAATTTTATTAACTCTTCCCCTATAAAATATATAAACATAGAAACATGAATGGCTGACAGATGCAAAATTGTAATTCTACAAATGTAAGTCTGAAGTGATTTTCTGATTTGGCCACCAACAGAGGTGAGGTAGTCAAGTAAATAGGGCTAAATAAGGGATTCTGTGAAAGGCCAAATCAGAAACTGGAGACAGAATCCAAAAAGGGATTAACAAATGGTATATCTATTTTAACTTTTTTAGCACTGTATTACTTACTAACAAAAAATATATACATTTTGTGTCACAGTTTCTTACTTCTACCTTTATCAAATTTCAATATTCCCAAAACTTTGTATAAGAATAGCTAAAAAAAGTTTTTTTTTCTTGTAATGTCAGCACAAAAAGTGATGATACCATACTGGACTTGGGGCAGGTAAACTACATGTACTTAAAAAAGAATATTTTTCCTACTTTGCCGAAATGAGGTAATATCTTGATACTACTTCAACAGTTTGTCATCATAACTCCCCTGAGACCACACAACAGAATTTCATGAAACTTTATAGATAACTAGGACATACTATGTAGATGTGCATATATATCAACAGGAAATTATGATTCAATTTTTTTCTAGTAGTTATGCCCTTTGAACTTAGAATTTTGGCCTAAATATACTACTGTGACCTTTTGTCATCTCAACTCCTCTGAAACCACACAATATAATTTCATGAAACTTTGTAGATAATAAGGACATAATATGTAAATGTGATCATGTGCATATCCACAAGAAATTTTTATCAGTTGACTTTTGTAGGAGTTATGAGTCTTTTAATTGTCTGTTTATAAATTTTGAAATTATAAAGAAAGTTAGGTTTCAACTACCTCAGGCAAAGTTGACCTGAAATGAATTTGGCTATTTTTTATGTATTTTTTGGTCATATAGCTCTGCAACTGTTTCGGTTCTTAGACATCCTTGGCTTTAAAAATTTGGCTTTGAGCGTTCCTGATGAAGGTAATCCAGAAAAAGCGCTTCGGACACATGAAATTAATAGTGTTGTTTTCATATTCTATATTATATATTTGTTCATTTTCTTTCAAAGTCTGAATTTAATGTGAATTCTACTCAGTTTACTATTGTTTAAAGCAATTCATTAACTGGTGAGATACAATGTGGCTTGAATTTTTATATCACAGTTTGATCAATATTTTTTTTGACGTTACACCTGACCATCTATGAAAGTTAATTAGGACACGTGTCCATTAACGAAATTTGAGTGTAAAAAGGTGAATAAATAAGATAAGGTTAAAAAATGATTAGAACGACAACATTGAAATGGAGACTTGCTTTTAATTTTAGATTTTTTGTCGATTGATTGTTTACCCCATATCTCCTTTTAAACATATTTTTAAGCAACTGGTTTGGATATTTTTCTCTCAAGGCAAATAAATGACCATATTGGATTCCAAATCAACACAATGTATAAATCTAACATAAAAAGAAACCAACAAATTCGACTCTAAAAGAGAAGCGAAAGATACCATAGGGATTTCCAAACTCATCAGTTGAAAACAAGCTGACAATATCATGGCAAAAAAAGAAAAACTATGTAAAGGCAAACAACAGTATACAAAACAAAAGACTAACACGGACCCCACCAAAAACTGGGGGTGTCTCAGATGGTCCAGAAGGGTAAGCAAATTATGCTCCATGTGTGGCACCCATCGTGTTGGTGATGTATGTACAAACCCAGTGATGTCTATTACAAATGGTCACATTCGAGGAAAAGAGGACGGGATTGTGGAAATATCAACAATTGGAAGATATCAGTCGTCATTAGTAATCTGTGAAACAGATATTCCATAACGGTCAACCTACTCGACCGTAAAATTTTAGAAGGGATGATTTCAACTGGGAACTCTTGGTTCAGTAACTTCCCTGTACATGTAAGCAGCAACCATCTATCAAGGAAATGATGATAGGAAATGCAAGCTCTGGAATATCTTATCATCTGGGAGGTATATACTCCATATGCAGATGCGGCTGGAATGTTGGTACATAGAAAAGAAAAATTCACAGTTCGAAGCTGAAATCATCTCCTTTGTCGTAAAGTTTTGTTCTTAACCGACCAAGTATGTTGTTATTGATGAGCTTTTAATGACAAATATTTATATCTCTTTCTCAATAACACAAGAACTTCCTGGGGGTTTCGCCCCCTACCAGGAGGTCTTCTGCCCTGAATCAGCTTAGGGGACCTCATGAGGCTCGGGGTACACTGCAAAATGGCCTAGCTACGCCACTGACATATAGGAAGTAAAAACATCCCAATTTAAAAATAAATGAATTTTAGGGTTAAATCTGATATAGATTGTTCGTGTAAACAAGTTATTCAGTCCTTAATACATTGTACTCAAATATAAAATCTAAGGAGTTATGACAAAAAAAGGAAAACAAATTTATTGTACATGTAAAAGGCTATAAACATAGGATTTCGTTCCATAAAAATTATTTTCTAAAAAAATACATTTCCATATACATGTATATTTGATTTTTCTATTTTTAGAATTTTATTATGGGATGGATTATTTTTATATTTTTATATTTTTATTTACCACAACAGTCGATGTGTTATCATTTCTGTTTGTACATGTATTTAAATATTATACACTAATGCTCTTAATTTGAGGTAAATACTATTACACACTTATTTCTATTTATATTTGAGGGAGGATGAATTTGGTAGAGTAGCAGGAATAAAAAAGCATGTAATTACAGCTTTTTTCTTTCTTTCTGAACATCAGATTTTTTACTGTTATCAACTGCTGTGCATGTGAAGGATAAGTATCAAAAAATATATTAACAAAAAGATAGTGCATGTGCCAGAAATAAATACTAACATGAACATGTGGTTAAATAAAAAACCATTTACATAACGACTAAAATTTATTGTTCTTTATTGAAGAGTACATGTAGGTGTCAACTGTTCTTAAAAAATATTGAGTATAGGGGAAGTACTACATTTAAAGGTAGTAAATTCCATTATGTAATTGTTATAGGGAAAAATAAATATTTATAGCAGTCTTTAGATGTTAGTAGATGTCTGTATGTATATGGATGGGTTGCCAAGTTCTATTGCCTGTTGGTAGTCGTAGAAGTAATACTGAGGGTACTGCGACGATATGGTGTACAATTTTACAGAACATTAAAAGTCTGGTTTTAAGTCTGCATTGTTGTAAGGTAGATGAGTTGAGAGTATCGAGCATGTCTGTAATGCTACTGGTGTTATGATATCGATGCTGCAACAACCCATGGCTGAAACATTTAGCACACACACCTCATATTAATTTTGTCAAACAGAAATCTACATTTGTACAAGAAACACCCCAAGGGTTAATATTCAAATTTGTTTTGTTTGCTTCTCTTTGAAACTATTCCTCTATCAGTCCGGGGTCCCTGCTCCCATGAGACAGTCTTGGGACCATTGCTATTTCTAGTCTATATAAATGACCTACCATCAAAAGTCCAGTCTAAATCTAGATAATTGGCAGATGATTGCCTCATGTATAGATCTATTGAAAGTTCAGAAGATGCCAAGATATTACAACAAGATCTTGATCAACTGCAATAGTGGGAGAAAGACTGGATGATGAGCTTCAACCCGAAAAAAAGTGAAGTTATCCGCATAACCAACAAGTGGAAAATAGCTAGCACGAACTATTCCATTCATGGCCATGTTTTGCAACTGACCTGGGAACAGTATACATGTATATGTTCCTGGACTGACAGACCGGACAAAATACTTGGGCATCACAATCGTCAGCAAGATCACATGGGGTCCAAATATCAGTAACATCACGAAAAAGGCAAACAACACCTTGGGATTCTTGAGAAGAAATATAAGCAACTGCCCAAAAAACATCAAAGAAACAAGCTACAAGACCCTTGTCCGCCAACAGATTGAATATACGTCTACTGTCTGGGACCATTCAACCAAACAACATACCACAGCCTTCGAATCTATACAGCGACGTGCAGCCAGATTCATTATGAGTGACTACAGGAGAGATAGCAGAGTAACATCAATGCTCCAACAACTACATCTAGGTAGCCTGCAGTCACACAGATATAAGGCCCGCTGCACCATGATATTTTTAGAGTCATCAACCAACTGATTGAAATACCTTCACTATCACTACAGGCGGTTCACCTAGAAACCAGGGGAAACACACAGAAATTTCAGCAAGTAGCTTGCTCCACCAGAAGCTACCAGGACTCGTTCTTCCTCGCTGGTATAGGATCTCCTGTAGTTGGTGATCGCAATACTAGTACTAGTATTGTGCCCAATACTGGTATAAAAATTTTGTACCAGTATTGTATTCCATTATTGTACCAGTATTGTGTTTATTTTTTAAATAAACAATACATATAGGTAATTAATCTTTTATTAAAGGTGTCACATATATATGCATTATGATATTAACATATGACAAGACAATTTTATATGGAATGATTGTATGTTTAACTGATGATGCCATTGATGGTAAACTGTGATTATAATCAAAGAAAGTTTTAAATCTTCTGATGTGAATTTCTTAAGGGAACCGTACTGTCTCAGCACTTTAACAAACTCTTTACTTTCTTCTATGTTTTCTTCCAGCTCTCTCTTTCCAAGTCTCAATAGTATATTTTAGTGAATTTTATATTGACATTAATGCTGTTATAGCTTCTGTATCATCAGCATTGGTATTGTTTATTTCTTCTTCAGATGGCATTTCTGCAACCCCCACTTCCTATATTGATATTTATGTATTCAGTCTGTGGACTTTCTCTTACACTTACTAGATTACAAGCTTGTTTAGATAGCACCTGTACGGCTCTCTTACTGTAGGAGTGCTTGTCTAGTATAAGTATTTGAGCATTTGTACCAGTAGATATATCTGCTACAAATTGTATTGCCCATGGTTCTGAATCAACTGCTTTAAGAACTACCCTTAACATTCATGTAAACAAACTAGTTGATTTGATTATAATCAGGTTCCCCTATTAAGCAACTATTTATGTTTAATGGATATTGATATCTTTTATCATGTTTAATGTGAAAGATTGATAAGAAAATAAAGACAAACAAATGCTTAGAATCTTAGTATACATACATGTATTAAAATATCTGTAAAAATATACGATGGTATACATGTAAATGCCGAATTTACAGTGTTATAGTGTAATAATTTGCTTGAATTTATTAAAAAATAACTCAGATAATAAAGCTGTTATTTTATTTTTTCTAAATTGAATTAAATAAAATAGAGAAATATGATAAAATTATTAGCAATTATTTATATAATTAAGTATTGTTTGAATAAGATGAGTTAATTACAATAATCTTTTGTTTATTTGTACAAGTATAGTAATTATTTTTAACTGGTTGTTAATTGATTTCACAATTATTCTCTGTAATCTTTTTGAGTTCATTTAATCTCCCTTTGATCTTCAATATCTAATTTTGCTTAAAATTCATATTTCATTATACACCTTAAAGTATAGTGAACAATACAACTACAATACTGGTATATCAGTAATGTACCAGTATCGCTGTTTTTTAAAAAAAAGTTACAATACTGGTACAAAATTTTTATACCAGTATTGTGGACAATACTGGTATACCAGTATTGCGATCACCAACTACAGGAGATCCCTGGTATAGTTCTTTGTTACTCCATGCCACAGACCATGGTCGCTGCAGACGCTGCTGATTCTCTTGACTCCTTCAAGGAGAGAATCAGCATGTACAGCTTCTATGAGGACTCACTTGTTTTGTTCCTGCTTCTAACCTGTCACACGACTCCTATTTTAACTGTACATAGTCCATTTGTGCGATAATGCTCATGAGGAATCCGGCACAATAAAGAATGAAGAAGAAGAAGAGATAGCATAATTTTACCGACGTGCGAAAGGACTTCGGATGTACACTTCTGATATTAACTAAATCTTGATTGTACATGTGATAAGAGAGTTGGAGGTTTTAGTTGTACATTAAGATAAACACAATGGACCTCTCCTACTGACCAGTCGATCACATAGAAGGTTGCAACTTATCACATCCACAAATTCACGTACTTTTTTTCGTTTCTAAAGCTAACAGGAAATGTCTGCTACATGATTAAATAATAATCCGATATCGGGTATATTTTCCGGAATTAACTATTGTCTAGCACACACTATTTAGCAGTGCTATTTTAATTTTAGTTAATTTAAATGAAATTAAAACACAGACAAATAATTTCCAGTGCATGTTTTTTATGTGTGTGATTGAGGGCGGGTTGCCTTTTTTTTAAGGTATGTTTTGTCACACGATTTTGCAGAACTGAGCATGCCTAGTTCTACAATCAGTGTTTGTTGAACCAGAGACATATAATTATATGTGTATATATGTCTCTGGTTGAACTGGGCATATTGTATTACAATTTTCATACGATCTGTACACAATGCACAATTCCCCATAGAAATTGTACAAGTGAGCTGTTCATATATTCATGTAAAGTAATGCAGTCTAGCATACTGAACTATTAGTTCGGTCAAGAAAGACAACTCGTACTCAAAAAAGGGAGGTAACTCAATGTTCTTATAAAGGGAAACGAGTTTATCAGTAATTCCGAGGAACATGTTGATTTTTGCACGCCAACTTGTACATAAATAATTAAATATCGGATCACAACAGGTTTTGAATGTTTGATGATCGATATCCACGTTTTAATCCAATAGTATAATAATTTGTAACTTAATAGGAAACCGAGTTTAGAATCAAATTAGAATTATTAGGGTTTTAATATAATAATTTTAATTAGTTTTTATTATACATTTTTATATATGCGTATCTATTGAAAAAATGTCTTTCTTAATCTTTGAACATTTTTCTAACATCCAAATTCTGTTAAGAAAAATAGAAGTATTTGATTTTATAAGACAACATAAAAAAAAAACAGAAAAGAAAAAAAAAAAGAAATCTGCCCACCTAAAATACTGAATTTTGCCATGTCTGGTTGAATGACTATATATATTTTGATTCTCATACAGACAATGCATTACATCGGTACAGAGAAAAATTATAAACTCATATTAACTCAATTTAACTATTAACGAACTTAGTGAAATGTTTGCTTCTTTTTTTCATCTTTGAACTTCAAGATGGCGAAATGCATCTAAGTTTAAAATAGAGAACGATTTAAAACAAAATTGATTTCACTTCTTCAAAACATGTGGTATACATAACTTTAGCCACTAATAATAAATAAAAAGTATTATGTAATCAAATTTGGTTAAATATCTATTTCAAATTTATGATCTTTTATATGTAAAGGTAGTAAGATAAACATAAATAAACAGAATTAACACCTTTATGTTATTGCTTCGAAAACGATGATGTCCTACTGATTTTATGGCCATCATACTCATACTTATATTCCTTAGTTTTAAGGAGACACATTTAACCAATTAATTGTATGGTGTGTTATAACTTTGGATATCAAAATAAAGGTAAATACAGAAAAGCGCTTTGGACGCAACAAAATCATTAAAGAAGTGATATTGTCAATGTTAGACATGAATCCCAAAGTTTTTCATTTGGAAAAGTTTTTTTTCTAATTTCATTTTACATTTTAGCAGATATAATAAGTACAAGTTGATCCGAAAGACTGTGTCATGACTAAACAATTGCAGAGATTGTTTAAACACTCATTTTTTTTAGTTGGCTAAATTCCTTTATAGAAGTTAAGCGGAACTTAACCTTTTTTCGCTTATATTTCAATATCTCAACATCTCGTGTAACTTTTCCCGTTTGTGCATCCAGATAGTACCACCGTGTCCTATAACTATTTTCTTGACTTAAAACACTCAGTATGTCCACATTCTATGACAACCACTAGCTCGTAGTCTTTAATCAATACCGTTTCAATTCAACTCTTTTTCTAACCTTCAGCGCACCCATCGCACATTCTTTGAAAGATCATGTTAAGCGTTTAGTGATGCTATTGATTTATTCAGTCGGTTGTCCATTGAATTAATACAAGCTTCCCATGAAGGGTTGAGACATAAAAAAGAATGAACAATTTTAGTGTGAATGCGCCTTGAAATACAAATGAGAAATTTTTTACATTCTACTGCAAAGTTTTCGGCATCTTAAGGTGCAAACGATTAATTTTATATCATGCGCGGATATGATTGACGGTTTTGTTTGGCGTCGAGTGACAAATAGTTCATGCATATTCGGAACGAGAACAAATCAGCAATAATTCAATAAGCATGATAAGAGGAACGACTAGGAAAAATACGATGAAGAACAGAAATTTCGAATGCAACTCGAAAATGAATTTTTTGCCATCAAACCCCTGAAAGAGTTGTTGCAAGGGTATATATATATATATATATATATGCTAACGTAAAGGAGATGTGGCATCGGACGTGGCTGCGTGTTTATACATTCAGCACAATGAAGCGAATATAAATAAGAAGATGTGGTATCGGAGTGCCAATGAGACAACTCTATAACCAAGTTAAAATTTGTAAAATTAAAAATTATAGGTCAAAGTACGGCCTTCAACATGGAGCCTTGGCTTACACCGAACAGCAAGCTATAAAGAATACCCATTTACTGCCAGATGGAAGAAGTCCATATATGTCATACTCCATTGCTTGGGATAATTTTTATACTGGATATGATAAATTAACTAGCCACACACTGGCACAAAAGTCTTGTCCATGCAAAATCATGATTTGTAGAATATTTGTCATACAATAATGGAATTTTCCAATGTACTTTAAAGCAATAGCTTTAAACATTAGCTTGGTTAAAAAAAGGGACATGTCGGTGAAAAGAGAACCATAATTATTTCTAATGGGATTGCATATGGTCTCAGTTGAAAATAAAACGTCAACCTAACATAATAATAAAAAAACATTTGGTCAATAAAAAAAAATCAAACATCATGTCAGTTTCACAGTTTCAACATTTTTGTCGAATTAAGAGTTTTTTTTAAATATGATTTGTCCGTTCCTAAAGCAAGACATTTGTTTTTACTATGGCCTCTTAAAAAAAGATGGACTTATAAGTCTACTTAGACTTTAAATTGATAATGAGTAATACGTGTGTGTATCTTTTATTTGACACAGTAGATGTAAACCTCCATGCATGTTGCGAGACTTTATGATTTCGGTCGTTGTGTAATCAAGTAACAATCCATTATGCGATTTATTTTAATTAAAACTTTTCAAAATATGTTACAGTTTCGAGTATTTTTTATTTATCTTCATATTCGTTTTAATTAATCATTTTATAATTATGTTTATTTCTAAAGGAATATATGTAACGGATCTCCGTGAACTATGACAAAGTATTAAGTAAACACGGGGTATTTTCCAAATACATGTAGCTTACTTAGCCAAATCAAAAACTCGTCAAAGATAAAACTCTGAAAGATTTCAACTTGAAATGATAAGAAAAGTGTGAGAAATTAATAATATATATACGGTCAGATTACACGCATCACTCCCTGTGGAGAACAGTCTTAATTAGCTACTTGAATCACACAAATCAATGTTGGTATCCCGGGGTGTGTAGGTTTATGCAGTACATGTAGTTGAAAAAGTTAATTCGTAAATATTTTTGTTAAAAACATATTTTAAACTTTATCATAGTATTGGGAAGTTTATGTGTTTTTCAGGGAAGATATTATTGTTAGTTAGCTCAGGAACATATATATTGACATAGTTAGATATACTGTTCCCAGGTTAGCTTATGGTTATGGAAAAATTATGGAATAATAATTACTAGTATTGAAATTTTAATAATTAAAAAAAATCATGTCATTTGTTGTGTTAAAAATATAGCTAGTGCAACCAAAGAACCTAATCCAATTGATGTTTTATATGGTCACGATATATGGAATAACGATGAAGATTCTTCTTTTATGTCATAAATCCGAAGGATTTTAATTTCCACATGCATCCGCTACAATAACACCAGTCTAACCTAATAATAATACGTGTGTATTTTGTCACGGCAAAGATTTTCTTTGAAGCTTTTAGCAAATTTATTTTTGTCATAATAATGAAAAATATATTAAGATTGTTAATTGTTGGAAGTTCACTTTTCAACATAATGATTCCATTGTATACTTCATCCTCTCTCATGATTGAAAAGTGGAAAACACAAAAAAAAAAAAAAAAAACATATACCTTGTGTATTGCAAGTATTGCTACTTTAATGTAGAGTAAACATGTATACATTCACAATTATATTGTTTATCAAAGTCTTAAAGGATATAACCATACCGATTCATAAAAGTATAAGTGTTTGCCGATGACTTCGTAACTAAGCGTGTAAAATTCTCTATTCCATGACAAATTAAAGAATTTTCAATTTTCAACCATAAAAAGACGGGAGAATTACAAAAGTTAATTTTTAGGCAAAAATATCATTTTATTTCCCTGTCTTTGGAGATTATAAAAATATCGACGACGAAATAAGAAAATAACGAATACTATTTGTTATTTAAACAAATAGATGTCAGGGGTTCGCAAAACAATGCCTTCTCTGTATACATTAAACGGGCTACTTCGCTATTTATGGTAGCAAATTTTAAATCAAAAGTGACGGATGTTTAAAATATCTTATTTTCATAAAATTTACATCATTACACAGTTTAAACCTTTAATAAACTTTAATTAACGGCGCGAAGAAGATATTCAAAAGTTAATATAAAGTAATACGGGTATAAAAACTATTTGCCCATACAAATCTATAGTAAAATTAATCGCCGTCTGTGGACAATTACTAGCGCATGCGCATTAAAGACCGAACGAATTCTTGTACATGATCATCGGCCACAATATTGATGTTGAACAATTATAAAAATGTGCATGCTTATGCACGTAAAGTAATGCACCCAGGTTCTTCAAACAATTGTAAAACTGTGCATGCTTTGATATTTATGTAATGTCTAGTTTTACTATTGCTTGTTGAACTGGCCATGCATTGTTTTA